CCCCAGATCTTTTGCATTTTTTTATACCATTTCAACCCAATGGTTAATTTTTAAGCAGCGAGTTAAAGGGCGTAGGTTCAAACCCTAGTGACAGCAAAACCTTTAATTTTACCACTAGTTGTTTTATACTTTTTCTCCACCTTCATTCAATCATATCTTTTGAACCTTTTATCATTTTGAGCTAATTTTTTACACACTTATTGTTTGTCATATATATTTTGAGAATGCATAAAAAATAACAAAAATAATATTTATTTCATGTATTTTTGTGTAGTTGAAAGCATGTACCTTTTATGTGTTTTTAAAATCTTTTAATGGTGTTTTTTAGATTATTTCTTTGATCTAATTAAACATATGTGTTTATGTGACCATAGCATGGTTTAATTGAGTCTTGCTAATGACTCGTACCTTGCTTAAGTGTCCCTTTTATTTGAAAAAAATTTGATTAAATGGTTTGTTTAAGTGACACCTTTAGGGTTTAATCTTGCTTGATCTTTTGAAACAACTTGATGTAGAAGTAAGACTTCCACTTGAGTTTGGTTCCTTTAACTTTTAAATTCAACCATATTAAATATCTTATTCATGTTCTTACCTTAATTAATATGTTAAAATTGTTGACATGATCAAGTATTTTCTTCATAAACTCCCTTTAGAGTTTTACTTTTGCCTTGTTATGTTCATCTAATCCATGATTGATATACTTGTTTAAACTTGTTTGTGATGTTTCAAATTGATTAAATCTTTGCTCACATGTTCAAGTATTTCCTTCATAAACTTCCATAATGTCAAACATGTTTATTTGTCTTATGCTTTGCCTATTATGCACATGTCTTGATACCATGCTCTATCATTTGTATTCATTTCATTCTTGATGTTTACTTGTTCATACTTGATAAACCTTATCTGTTAATTTTCTCTTGACATTAGTGTTTATGTTCATCATTCCCCTCACCCTTTGTTTAGACTTATTTCAAACATTAGGATTCCCCTCAAAATTTAACTTCAATCAAACCCTAGCCATCTTTGGCTTCAAACTCAGAGCTCTTCCCTAAGAGATTAGGCACGATTCATCTCTATCGAAGAAATGCTTCTTCTATCCCCACAATATAAATAAAACTTTTGAAACTTTCTCTTTCATTTAAGTGATGTAAGTGACCTACTTGTTTATTCTATATCCAAGTTGATGTCCCTCTCTTATTATGGTACAAAGACACTCTTTCATTTAAGTGATGCAAGTGGCATACTTGTTGATTCTATATCCAAGGTAAAGTTCTTCTCTTATTATGCAAATATCCTTTATCTTTCTATGTTTGTGGTGGTATAATTGAGAAATCTCTCTTAAGATGACAACTTTTCTTTTCTCCTAAAAACCCAACAAACATTGCTTGTACCCGTAGTTCCCTGAACTACAAAATGCTCTGACTTCCTTTAGGGATATGTATGCATAGGATTGCAAGATCCTAGCGAGCACACCTTTTTATTTTCACCCCCTTTATTCATATACATTACAAAAACAACAAAACATTTTCCACTCCCATCACTCACTAAAAAACATTCAATTCTCCCAATCAATAACAAATAACTTAAGCAAATAACACAAATATTTTAAGAGGTTCCTACAAGATACTATAAATGATTAGGGTGTTAATACCTTCCCCTTATATAATCAACCCCCGAACCTTAGATCTCTTATTGCATTGTTTCACATTGCATATTTATGGATTATTCTTTCTTTAGCCCTTCCCTTGGATAAATTAAAGTTCGGTGGCGATGTTTTGATTTGAGAGTTAAGTTAATCCAATAACTTGGTCTCCCGATTCACCAAAAAACACATGTTTGTGATCCATTACAGGTAAAACCCTTTAGTGGTGCACTTTATTTTGTTGCCTTTATTGATGACTGCTCTAGGAAATTATGGGTTTATGCCTTGAAGACAAAAGACCAAGTGTTGGGAAAGTTCAAAGAATTTCATGCTTTAGTTGAGAGGAAGACAAGAAATAAGCTGAAATGTGTTCGTTCAGACAATGATGGAGAGTATTGTGGACCATTTGATTTCTATTGCAAGCAGGATGGTATTGTACATGAAAAGGATCCTCCTAAAACTCCTCAATTGAATCGGTATTCTTTAATGTCTTTATTTGTTCGATTTATTGTTTTTTATTTATAATTGATCGTCAAAATTCTTACAAATATAGAGAATTTTATATTTGATACATATTGTTTTGTTTGTGGATCTTAATTTTTTATCATGTAGAATTTGAGTCTATTGAGGACTCTATTAAAATAATATTGTCTTTTTACTTTCGTTTTATTTAAGTTCATTAAATGTAATATAAAGATATGTATCTATTAGAATTGTTGTTATGTAGAATTTAATGCCAGGCATGATTGTTTATGATAGGCATGAATGTTTAGTGATATATTTAATAGTAATTTATTTTATTTGTTAAAATTAATAACATGGATAAAAAATCAATACAAATTTACTTTTTTGTTTAAATATTTTTTTGGTTATTTCCTTGTTAATAAATATGAAAATGAGATTAATTTGTCTTTCTAATAATATAGAACCCAAGATTAAAAAAAAAGTTTAAAACTTTGAAAATTTATAAATTTAAAACTCGTCCGAACTGAATGAACCGACCGTATAGTTTATTAGACTCAGTTAAAGCAACTTTAACGCAGGGTTGTTAAACTAAAATTATTTATAGCGTATGTTAGTAATAAGGAATTTGTATTATAAGAGAGCTGACATGACATCCAAATGAACTAAAATTTAGTTCCCATTATCTATATAGTTAGCTTTAACTATTCATGTGAAACCTATTATAATATTAATAAAATATTCAAAATATTCCAACAACATTAAAGTAAGGGTATGATATTTGAAAATAGTAACGTTCATATTATCATTTTTTACCTTCTATAAATTCTATAGAAATTTTAATTTTTTTTATACACAATATCCATTTTCATTGTTACACATTATCTAATCGGGTATCAATTCTAGATTACAGGGAATTTTCAATAAATTCTCGTACTTTCATTATTTTGCCAATTTTTCATTAAATAGATTGATGAATGAATAGAAAAATTAACACAACATATGTTGTCTCGAACAAATAGGCCTGCAATAACGTAAGAGACATATATAGATAGCTATAGTTGAAGTTAGATCTATGCCAAGTCTTTTTATGCAATGCAAACCTCCAATTCTAAAATAAAAGGTCAAAATATCTCTCTTCTTTGTGAATTCTTATTCTTTTTTGAACACTTTAAATGGTAAAGGGCTAAAAAAAATGGTATTTTTATTCTGATTATTTTATTTTTGATATCTTTCTCTCATGGAGCCGAGCAAATCCTGAATTTATTTTTGGGATATCAATCGAATGAGAATATGGAATATCATACTATACTAATAGTACAAATAGAATTCATTTTTTTTAGATTGTTAAAAATACCCCGACCCGAAGTCTAGGTGAAATGGATCAATTTGTTTCCATTGATATTACAAGTTCAATTCTATTTGTTTGTTTTGTTGCAAATTTTACTTCTAAATTTTTTTCTTTCAATTTCCAATCTTATTTATTTATCAAATGGATCTCAACCAATCGAATCATTATTATAATTATATTCCTATGAAAATGTATTGTTTTATGTATTATTGTTGTGAATTTTGTATCATTTTTAATTTTATAATAAAATATATTTAATATTATTTTTAAGTTTTTAAGATAAAATTTATTTAAAAAATTATATGTATTTTAATTAAAATAATTAAATTAATGGTAACTTGAATAAAAAATATAAAATGTAGGGTCAAGTTTTGATTTTTTATAGACAACCACCGTTAAAGTAAAAACTACTCAAATCAACTATAAATTTTTTAAATCCTACAAATCACTTTGGACCCACAAAAAATATTTTAGTTTACCCATTTAATTTACTCCCATTGAAAATACTCTTAGTCATTAACTGATTTAACCGAATATGATTTTGGGTTACATTGTGCCTAATTTTTTCAATCGAGGGTTAATTCGGTTTGGCTATCATAGGCCTGAACCCATCAATAGTCCATTAATGTTCAGTCCTAATCCCACATATAATTGCTCAGATCCATATGCAGGCTTCCAGCTGCTTAGATCCAGATGCTCAGATCTAGTCCGGACGCCAGGCAAAACATAGGCAAAGAGCAATCCTTTAATTACAAATCTAGATATCCCTTGTATTTTATATATCTACATGTGGTAATTATAATTTTAATAGTTTTATTACTATTTAAGACTTCCCTTTTAATATTAGTGCAAACGAAATACAGTCTCAAAATGAACCACCATACCCAGCATTTCAACATCACAACTGCTCCATTGCTGAAGGCCTACCTTTGAGTCGAATACGATCGTGTTGAGAGACATTTTTGGTTTTTAGTTTTTAAAAATTATTTTGTAAATCAATTTTATAAAAGAGTTTTGAAGAAAAAAAAATAAAATCAAATATGTTTGATAATTTAATTTTTAAAAATTGTTTTGAAGTTGAACATTATTAAAAACTTACCATTAATGAAAAGTATACTACTTTTCTTGTTTTTTTTTTCTTTTATTTTTTATTTTCAAAACTAAAAATCAAAACCAAAAACCTCTAAAATCTTTTTAAATTTTTTAGTTTTTAAAATTCTAAAATAAAGAATAATTTTTAAAAAATTGTTTGTAAAACTATTTTTATGATTTTATGATTTTAAAAACTAAAAAATAGTTTTATAAAATCAAATCAAACAAATCACCTTTACTGCACATCACCATTTATTATACAATACTAAAATACAATAATAGTAACATGGGCCATAAAACATTCTCAATCAAACAAGGAAATAAAAACAAAGAACACACCGAAAAGAAAACAGTTTCCATTTATTATCAAAAAATGAAAAGAGTTTCCATTTATACAAACTTATGAAATGCACTCAATTTCAACTCAAGAAGATTCATAGTTTTGTTTAGGCTCTAGAATCCAAGAACTGAAAACACCATTATGAACATTCCCATCAACCAGCTTCCAATCAACAACTTCAAGCCTTGTGATCCACTACACTTAAGGTCATGATCATGGTAAGTGCACATCGGTTTCTTCCTGAAACTCCAAATCAAAACATAATTAAGGGTTAATTGCAGTTAATTTAATTTAATATAATTAGTATTTCATATTTATGATCAAAACGTAATTTCACAAACCTGTCAGCACAGAAAGCAATGACATAATCTGTTCCAGTGCATGTGAAAATACTGGTTGGATCATCATAAGCATAACTATAAGAAGTTGGACAGGCCTCCTTAAATTTCTTCGAATAAAACGTTGGTCTACAAGTCGAAGGGTTCCCGAAATTCCCTCTACAACAATACTCATCTGTATCAAACACATCACACGCGCTTCGGCACCCGATAGTCTTTCCGTTAGACTTAACGGAAAGTTCTTTGGGACAAGTCGACCTAAGATCAGAATCGCACCCGGCAGTTGAGCAGTTTCCTTTTCCGTTTATCGGCTTAACGGAAATCGGCACGTTGAAGCCGTCGACGAGACTAACATCGTAGAAGTCAGGGTTAGCGAGTGTGAATTCAGCTAGTGACGCCGGGGTTTTTCCTGCACCTCCACATTTTAAAGTGGTGCCACATGCACCGGTTTGGCATTGTCCATCTCCGTTTTGGTCGAAGTTGCACCCGGTTCGAGCCCAAATTCGGCCGCTCCAACTGATTGGAGCGTTGAATACGGAAGATTGTCCTTGTTTAAGAATGAATCCTCCGCCGTTGAAATTTTCTCCAGGTATTACAGCTGGCCAAAGAGTCTCCTTACAATAGTTTACTATAGTGAATACTCTTGCTGATTCACAAGTTCTTTCACCTGTCTCATCCACAATTTTTAGCAATTATAGTAAAGAAATAAAATAATAATATAAAAATTCTGTTAAACTAACTGAGTTGATAACTGACCATCGAATCCAATAATAATAATAATAATAATAATAATATTAAAAAAAAAAAAGAACAAATGAATGTAGGGTTGTTTATTATTACCTGATAAAATGATGGCAAGAACCAATGAGATAGGTAGAATCATTTGAAAGTGTAATGCCATATCTTTGATTGCTACAATTCAACAAGGCTTGGATTGAGATACAGGTGAAAAATTGTGATAGCAACATGTGAATATAAAGGGAGTCGGGTGAAGAAATAAAAGAATACGTGTGTGAAGAAAGTAAGTGAATTAAAGCAACAAAAGTTATCCATTATGTTATGAAAAGAATTGGATTATTCTTTTCCTAATACATAGTTGCAAGTTTATTCAGGTTCTAATGCCTACTGTTAATAGAACTACAGATTGCAAACTCATGATGTGACACGTAACAATAAAGTTAACTTTAAATTGTCTAGTTAAAACAACTTATTTGACAGCTATATAAAAACATAGGGGTACAAGTTCAAAGTCACATTATCTTATTTATTTTGAACACAACCGGCCATTAGACTGCTTAATAAAATAAATTAACTTTAAGTTTTGAATTTTTCACCCAAATAACCTACATTTCATCCCCTAAATTTCATCCTACCCAACATTCTACCATATATATTAATCTATCCAACTTTGACGTTTTTTTATTTTAAATTACAAGGGGACGCCGTCATTGGTGTTGAAGTCACCCTTATAAATTATAGGGGAGCGCCATCCCCTTTAGAGGCACCCTATAATTTATAAGGGGGAGTCATCTCGTTTGGAGTCTCCCCTAAACGAATTTTTAAAATAGTTTTAAATATATAATAAGTTTAAAAATATTTAATAAATAATAATTAACAATTAAAAAATATTTAATAAATAATAATTTTATAAATAAAAAATTTTAAATAATTTTTAAATAATTTTATAATTAATAAATAAATAATAAATAATATTTTCATTAATAATTTCCAAATAATAAATAAAAATTAAATTGTATTTAATAAACTTAATATTAAATAATAATTACAATTTTCATTTAATTACAAATGGATACATATGAGTGATATGGCACACTAATTTCTAGGACTAGGTCGGTTTAAATGTTCGTCCGTACCGCATCCTCGATTACGTACGTTTCTTGGTGGTCTTTGTGGTGGAGTCTGGTCCACCGTGTCGTCTTCAAGAAATTGCATCACTTCGGCCCAAGTAGACGATTCCATCTCCGTAAAGTCATCCAAATCAAAAGGGTTACTCATGCCTTCATAATTATTTTGGAGTGGTTGACTGGATGAGGCAATGTCAGGACGATAGCCTGCCTGGTCGTAGGGTGACATGGGTGTAAATGTTTGGGCGGGTAAGGGTTGACTATGCGGAATATGTCGTCTTCCCGGGTATATGAGAAATAATTGTACAAATGTTGGAACAAGTTCTAGATAGATTTAATTTGGTTATTAAAAAAATGTGTAACCTTGGAATTTAATATTTATAACAACTTCTGATTACCACATAAACAAATTGAAATACTTCTAGAGCAACTACGTAAATCATTAAAAATATAACGATTATTACAACATAAACTAAGCTATAACAACAATCAAAGTAATATCATCAGTTCCAAACATCATTGACCTAACTGCGTTGTCATCTCTAATTCGCACCCACTCCCGCCGTATATTTTCGTCTTCAACAGAGAAGTACGAGACAAGTCTTTCAATACTCCTAATGCTTTCACCATTTGGAATGTCCTTCTAACCACCGATTCAAATTTCTTCGTAGTTGCTCTAAACTCTGGATGTTCCAAAACAACATCCTTATCAGACGCTTCGTTCTTGAAAAAATTACATGCCCATATCTTCTAAGATACATGACTCACTCTCCTAAATTTGGATGAAACAATGTTAATTTGAATGAAACAAGTCTAACTATTTATACAAAAAAATTTAGTCCAAAATAGTATTAAATTATAATTATATTATTTATAGTAAAATTAAAAAATATAACGAAATAAAGGGAGCTCCAAAGGGGATGACGTCCCCCTTATAAATTATAGGGTGCCTCCAAAGGGGATGTCGCCCCCCTATAATTTATATGGGTGACTCCAACACCAATGACGCCCCTTTGTAATTAAAAAAAAAAACGTCAAAGTTGGGTAGATTGGTATATATGGTGGAATGTTGGGTAGATTAAAATTATAGGGGTGAAATGTTGGTTATTTGGGTGAAAAATTCTTAAGTTTTATCCAAAATTAAAATTTTAATTTATATTTTGAGACATATCATAAAATTTGTTGGCTAAAGAATCCTCAATCATGCCAAATATAGCAAAGAAGCACATTGTGTCCAACAAGTTACGGTTAATGTCCTCTTCATTTAGTGATAGTGATATAACGTGAGGCACTTTGTATCTAAAAATTACAAAAAGAAATTGTACTTAAGTTTGTGGAGTGGTATCTAGGGTGTCAATTGGATTTATTAATACAAAATGTATTCAATCTATCAATTAAAAAATTCATTCAATCTATATGTTACATAAAAAGTAATGTAATGAATTGAATTAAATTCATTTATTTATATAAATGGATTGATTCAATCCATTTAACATATTTTAAGTAAGGATCATAATTAGATCCATTAAAACAAAATTCATTCAATCTATATATTAAAAAATTCATCAAATTCATCTACCACATAAAAAATAAGTTAATAGATTAGATTAAATCTATTCATTTATATGCATTGATAGATTCAATTCATGCAACATATTTTAAGGATCCAATGAATTATTTTATTTCCGTTACACTTATTTTTTAAAACATAATTAAAAATGAATTTTTTTAAGAAAAGAATTGATTTTTAAAATAAAAAAACATATTTTTTCAAAAAAAAAAAACATAATTTTTTTCTGAAGGAAAATTGATTTTTTTCTGACAAAAGAAAAAAGATTCTTTTTTCTAAAAAAAAAGAGTTTTTTCCAAAATAAAAAACAGTTTTGGGAAATACAATAAAATCGAATTTTTCCAAAAAAATCCGACTTTTCATTCTAAAAAAACTGATTTTTATTTTTGAAAATTAAAATATCAATTTTTTAGAAAATACAAAAAATCAAAATTTTCAAAAAATCAATTTTTTTTTCGAAAAAGAAAATGATTTTTTTACAAAAAATGTACCGATTTTTTCCAAAAATTAAAAAGTTTATTTTTTAAAAATAAAAAAGTAGATTTTTCTTCGAAAAAATGATTTTTTTTAAAAATAAAAAAAAATGATTTTTTTTCCAGAAAATACAAATTTTTTTTCTTGAAAATTTAAAAAATGATTTTTCTTTAAAACAAAAAATTTAATTTTTTCAAGAATATTATCGAAATTAAAATAAAATCGATTTTTAAGAAATAAAAAAATACATTTATTTTTTCAAAATATAAAAAAATTGGATGAATGGATATCCATCTACTAAAAATATGTTAATGGATGGATTAGATGAATTTTATTCTTAACGGATGGATTGTATTGGATAATTTTTAAAAAATTTAGTGGATTATTGATGGACTAATAGGTTGTTTTGATCCATTAACAATCCATCCATATCCGTCACATTCATATCTAATTTTAAGGATTCAATGAATTACTTTTATTTCTGTTAGATTTATTTTTTTTTAAAAATAATTAAAAAATGGAATTTTTTAAAGAAAATAATTGGTTTTTATTCAACAAAAATAAACCAGATTTTTTTTCAAAAAAATCGATTTTTTTCCGGAAATAAAAAACCTATTTTTTTTTAAAAATTAAAATATCAATTTCATGGAAAATACAAAAAATTGATTTTTGTAGGAAATTAAAATATCAATTTTTTTTCTTGAAAATACAAAAAATGTTTTTTTTAAATAAAAAATTCAATTTTTCATGAATATATTAAAAAACAATTTTTTTTCAAAATACAAAAAATGAATATTTCAAAAATAAAATAAAATCAATTTTTTTTTTAAAAAATACATTTGTTTTTTCAAAATAAAAAAAAAGTTGGATGGATGGATATTCATCCATTAAAAATTTGTTAATGGATGGTTTGGATGAATTTTATTCTTAACGGGTAGATTGGATTGAATAATTTTAAGAAAAAATGTTATTGGATTGTTAATGAACTAATGGACTGTTTTGATCCATCCATTAACAATTCAATCCATATCCACCAAATCTATCCATTTTGCCACCCCTAGTGGATTCAATCTAAGAATTACACTTTGAAAATTTAGAACTTGAAAATATGTGGTGCAGCAAAATATTTGTAAAAATATGTGGTAATTGGTATTATGCAGCACGTTAGAAAGTGAACTTGAAAATATAAGTGGAAGGATATACGATCCAATGTGGTAGGTCTAGGGAGGGTGTACAATATGTGTGTATGATTGATGGATCTGGAGGTGTGTTATCAGCGTGTAGGACCAACTGAGAAAAATGGAGGGATGGGAAAATAAAGGAGCTTTTTTTTTTATCGACTCTTCTTCTTTTTGTTTCTCTTTCTTTTACTCTAGAAAAGAAAATTTAATGTAGTGTTATCTTTAACATGGTCACCAAAACCATTGCTAATAAGATTAAACCCCACGTCAGTACTATTATTAAGTCCTACCAAAGTGCTTTTGTATCGGGAGATTAATTATTGATAATGTCATTCTTGCTTATGAGACTTTTCATACCTTGTTTGCAAAAAACGTTATGTGGCGTATAAGCTAAACATGTTAAAGCATACTATAGGTTTGAATGAACTTTTATCTATCACATAAGCACTATTATGAATTGTGTGAATATTGTCTCTTTCTCTATAATGATTAATGGTAAGAACTCTAATTGGTTTTCTCTAACTAGGGTATTAGATAGGGGATCATTTGACGCAATCAAAATCATAAAAGATTAGTAAGTGCTAAACCTAGAACAAAAACACAAGTTTGCAAGCGCTAATCCATAGAACAAAAACACAAGTTTGCAAGCGACAGATCTGTTAGATAAAGTTTGAAATCCACCAAAAGAAAAAAATACTTGAATTTTATAATGATCATAAATACATAAATGAAACCATAATGCTAAAAATATTCAAAAACATAAATAAAACATAAAGAAAATTTTAAAATGTGGTTTATGATCTAATTCCCT